AGAATGACCCTGCGAAGGCAGACACACACCAAATCCGGATTTCAGCCAGGCCCTAGACATTGTTCAGTGAAACGAGGGACCTTATGCTCCCACCAAGCACACAGGGATCTGCTAGTTCTGGGACTAGTGGGTGGCGGGGGGCAGAAGAGGGCTGTGATCAAGCATGCGTATGTGCGTCGGTACATGGGTCGGCCAGCATCACTGCCACATTCTCTCTCGTTTCTTTCATTAATTTTAATTTCCTGAGTAATCCAGGAGGGTTATGCTGATCCTGGGGGTACAACATGGATTAATCTGCAATTTTCTGCAGTTGTCAGTCATCAGATTTTTCAATACAGGTCCTTTTGGCTAGGTTTCCGGGACACCCTAGGGTACTGCAGGAAGTAATATTGAGCTAGTGGGTGGTCATCTCCTCTCTTGGACCCAAGTAGAGTGGCATAAAAAATATTCCAGATTTACACTAGTGTAACAGACTGTCTTCCATCTGAGAACTGCTATGAAATCAGTATCCCACCATGGTGTTGGGGGCACTGCGCTACGTAGAAGCTGACTCCTTTAAGGGAACTCTTAATAGCAAGCTCTTGTCTTTTTGCTCATTACAGTTCAAAAGTCATTCAAGTGCAGGGCTGTAAAACTAGTCAATCCCAGTCACTTCTGACGCTTGGCCACGAGATTCCTCTTCACTTTGAGCAGCGCGGCTCAGCACTGCTAGGTAACTTCCACGCTCCGCTCTTGCAAGGAGTGCTTCCTTAGTGCGGCAACTACGACCGGGCCTGCTGCTGTTGAGGCTGCTGTACCTCACCGAGCCAACCTTCCTTTGGGGCTGCATTTTGTCATGCTTGTTCTCAGCACACGGGTGACTCTGGGGGAGGGGAGGTCTTCACTTTGAGCAGCGCGGCTCAGCACTGCTAGGTAACTTCCACGCTCCGCTCTTGCAAGGAGTGCTTCCTTAGTGCGGCAACTACGACCGGGCCTGCTGCTGTTGAGGCTGCTGTACCTCACCGAGCCAACCTTCCTTTGGGGCTGCATTTTGTCATGCTTGTTCTCAGCACACGGGTGACTCTGGGGGAGGGGAGGAGGTCTGAGCGTTACCTCTCTCAGGTGCTCAGCTGGCTGGCTCTGGCTCAGAGTCCAACTGCGTGGGGGTGTGGGGGGGGGGGGGGGGGGCGGGGAGTGTTACACTTCTTGGCAGTGCGCCGGTTGCTTGGCCACTTGCCAGGATTATCTGGGTGTCTCTCACGGAGCCATTTTGCTGCCATTTCAGGGGCCTCTAGCACCGGTGCACCTCACTTAGGGATGTGAGCGACTAGTCGACGATCTGATAAACAAATGCTTATTGATAGTCAGCACACTAGTCAGCTAGTCGCTCCCCCACTATCTGAAAGAGGCAGGAAGGGAAGGGGGGAGGACAGGGTGCTTCAAAGCGGCAGCACTGCATGGAGCCTGGGGCTGGACCCTGGGCTCCACGTGGCGCTGCCGCTTTGAAACGCCGCATGCAGCCCGGGGCCAGCAGGGGACTCCCCAGTGTTTGAAAGCGGCAGCGCCAGACTCTGGGTTCCATGTGGTGCTGCCACTTGGACACATTGCTGTGAGCACAGGGCCCGCGGGGGACTGCAGGATTCCTCTGCTGGCCCCATGGCTCCCCGCAGCGCTTTCACCTTCGAAGTGTAGCTACGGCCCTGGGGTTGCTGCTACCCTTCAAAGGTGAAGGTGCCCTTATCGACTAGTTGAATAGTCAATTTAAATTTAACATCCCTAACTGCCACATTCTCTCTTGCAGGAGGAGTTGCGAGTACTCTGGAGGATAGGGTCATAATTCAAAATGATCTGGACAAATTGGAGAAATGGTCTCAGGTAAACAGGATGAAGTTTAATAAGGACAAATGCAAAGTGCTCCACTTAGGAAGGAACAATCAGTTTCACACATACAGAATGGGAAGCGACTGTCTAGGAAGGAGTACGGCAGAAAGGGATCTAGGGGTCACAGTGACCACAAGCTAAATATGAGTTAACAGTGTGACGCTGTTGCAAAAAAAGCAAACATGATTCTGGGCTGCATTAACAGGTGTGTGGTGAGCAAGACACGAGACGTCATTCTTCCACTCTACTTTGCACTGATTAGGCCTCAGTTGGAGTATTGTGTCCAGTTCTGGGCACCACATTTCAGGAAAGAGGTGGAGAAATTGGAGAAGGTTCAGAGAAGAGCAACAAGAATGATTAAAGGTCTAGAGAACATGA